CATATACAGAGAAATCAAAAAAAACGAAAAAAAGATTTCTCTATTACTTTTTTCCAACTAATTTTTAAAGGGAGAATTGTTCAAAAAAAGGGCACAGTCCCTTTAAGTCTAGACTCTGACTGAAGATTGATTGATTGGGTATTATAGAAAAATCAGTTCCAGCGCTTTCCTTAGCGGACTCCGACGCATCTATATCAATAATAACGAGATCGAGGATATCTCTGCCAACTCATTCATTCATCTCAACAATATCAGGTAATCAGATTTGCATAGGGTTCAGAAAAAAATATATTTTTTGCCCTAAAAAACAAGTTTTTTTCCACCCACTCAAATTTTCTAATCCCTATATTTTTGCAACCTGTTGGTGTAAACCTACGATATTTAAAAGTTAGATTACTCTGACAGCTTTCACAGTCTGAAATATCTAGGGATTACAATAACAATTAGAAAATGAGATTTTGTGGCATAGACGTTTTATTTTGCGATACATGACCAATCCCAAAGGAGATTGAGATTGGACTTTATAGCCATCAGAAGAAGAAAAGATGCACCCACAGAGGTGGTTTTTTACATTTTCAGGCTATTTCCAAGGTAAAGGATGTGGGGAGGAGGACTTTACGTTTTAAACTTTTTGTTACTTTTCCCAATTAAATTCTTGTATTTTCACCACAAAATTATTTGGAAATTAAAGATGGAGGGGCGGGGGAGGGGGGTTAGTTTCCTATAATTTTGTAGATATATCTTAGTTTAATTTTAATAAAACTTTTAATGAGTTTTAAATCTTACCATTCTTCCTTGTCAAGAAACTCTGCATTAGAGTTGAATAACGAAGCTAAAGACGCGCACAGAGAAGTTTTGTGCAGTTCGCATTCATTTTTTAACATAGTGTTGCCTGTAAGGTATTTGCTATTGGTTATATACCTTATTAAAGGTGTTGTCCAAAAAAATAGAAACTTGCATATCGCCGATTCAAAGAAGCAATTAGCAAAACCCTGATAGGTCTTTCCTGCATGCAAGCTTGCACTACTTTTTAACAGTGTGGAGTTTGTGGTGTGTAACACTGTGGAGTGTGGAGTAAGGGGTTTGTGGTATTTAACACTGTGGAGTGTGGACTCGTGGAGTGTGAGGTATGTGGTGTGTAATATATATTACGCATTGTGCGTTGCGGAGTGTGAAGTCTGCAGTATGGAGTGAATGGGTGTGTAACATTATGCAGAGTTGTGTTCAATCACATGAATATCAGTATGTAGGTTATCAGTGTTGAGTGTAAAGTGTGGAATGTGGAGTGTGGAGTGTGGAGTGTGGAGTGTNAGATAGATAGATAGATAGATAGATAGATAGATAGATAGATAGATAGATAGATAGATAGATAGATAGATAGATAGATAGATAGATAGATAGATAGATAGATAGATAGATAGATAGATAGATAGATAGATAGATAGATAGATAGATAGATAGATAGATAGATAGATAGATAGATAGATAGATAGATAGATAGATAGATAGATAGATAGATAGATAGATAGATAGATAGATAGATAGATAGATAGATAGATAGATAGATAGATAGATAGATAGATAGATAGATAGATAGATAGATAGATAGATAGATAGATAGATAGATAGATAGATAGATAGATAGATAGATAGATAGATAGATAGATAGATAGATAGATAGATAGATAGATAGATAGATAGATAGATAGATAGATAGATAGATAGATAGATAGATAGATAGATAGATAGATAGATAGATAGATAGATAGATAGATAGATAGATAGATAGATAGATAGATAGATAGATAGATAGATAGATAGATAGATAGATAGATAGATAGATAGATAGATAGATAGATAGATAGATAGATAGATAGATAGATAGATAGATAGATAGATAGATAGATAGATAGATAGATAGATAGATAGATAGATAGATAGATAGATAGATAGATAGATAGATAGATAGATATATAGAAAGATAAATAGATAGATAGATAAATAGATAGATAGATGGATAGAAAGATTGGAGGAATCAACATTTTTTTGGAATTGAATCCAAATCCCAATTTTTCAATAGAAAAGAATTCCAATCCCAATCATTCACTGGAATTGAACGTCAATCCCAATTTTGTTCCGGAATAAAATCCCAATCACTTCTTAGAATTGAATCCTAATCCCAATTTTTTTATTGAATTTTGTCCTAATACCAATTAATTTCTTGAATTGAATCCTAATCCTAATTAATTTTTGTATTCCCAATTCCTGAAATTACTTCTCAACCAACTAAAGTTCGCAAATTCCCAAACTCAAATAGTTGCATAGATGCCTAGCCAGCCAGCTAGCTGTACTGGGTGACAAAAGCTGTCTTTATAAACAAGGGAATGTTTATTTGCAAAGAGGCGTGGACAGAATTTAATTCAGGGGGTGGGGGGTAAAAGAGGGAACACAGGTGGATATTAAATCTGATCTCCGAAATAAAAAAGTTTAAATTCCCCCCTTCCTCCTACTCCATGCAGTGTGTTTGCACCCTGATGAGTTATCTTATTTACATGCTCGTAAAATAAGAAAAAACTCGAATGCGCGGGAGAATTTATCTATGTGCGTGCAAGCATGCGTATGGTNTCTATATATATATCTAATAAAGCTCTTCGCTCATATATATGTATTTGTTAGCTATAACTGGCCAAACGGCTAAATCAATTTGACTTTAAAAAAATTCAGGAAACACAAGAAATTTTTTTAAAATTAGATTTTTTTCTCAAATTTAAAAAAAAAAATTTCAAAGTTTTTTTTCATTAAACAGGTATTAACGCCAGGCACTTAAACTAGTTGTTATCATTATTAATGTTATCAATTATTATTGTTATCAATTATTAATGTTATCAATTATTATTGCCTAGGATCCCCAAGTGTACTGCTAGGGTACAATCCTATCCTCTGTGATTGTGAGACGGATTATTTGCCGCGTATTGATGAACTTGCCGCTGCTGGTCCTTATCCTAGTATACCAGACATTGACAGGTATAGAGCTGGTCCTTATCCGAGTATACCAGACATAGACAAAAAAATACCAAAAATTCCGCCTACAGTCCCTTTAAGTTGCATGAAATTACGCGGACAGTCCCTTTAAGTTGAATTAAATTACGCCGATAGTCCCTTTAAGTTGCATGAAATTACGCTGATAGTCCCTTTAAGTTGCATGAAATTACGCCGATAGTCCCTTTAAGTCAGCTTATTCAAGGTGGCAAAAAAATCTATTCACCCTGGGGCCTGTACACTGTACAGCATATTGAAAAGACAACAGTATAAAAATATTGACGGTATGCGCATAAAAAATAAATTATTATTTTACATCTCTTGAATACAGGCCCGCATGCAACAAGTACACTTCGTACTCAACCTTTTGCTATCAATACTTTCTATATGTTTATGCAGTGGGACCCCGAAAACACTGATATTAGGAATCAAGGTTGGTTATTCTCAATGCGCTCCAATGTTTGAAAATGTCGTCTCCTTAGAATGATAGATAAATGATTATAGAGGCGAGAGTGATGTCATATGAGGTTTTTATCTATATTTTAGGAGACTATATTGTCCGTATATTGGAGCACATCGAGATTAACCAACCTTACTTTACAACCTTGAAAGGAATTGCCGAAATTTAAACAATATAAGCCTGTGCATTATTTAAAGTACACATGAAAAGTGAAATGGATCTGTGTACACCTCTCTGTGCTTCATGTTCAGTAGACTATTTGAAATCATTACTTGAGTCTAATAGTCGTCTTCCTATTCCACAGTTGTATGGGTTCCACTGTACCTTTTAACTATACATACTTACTACACATCACATAAATTTAGCTTTCGTTGCGTACTGCATGCAAGCAGTGATGCAAAGATGGCTTTGCCTGATTTACTATGGGACCCTTAAAATAAATTTGATAAACTGATTTTTTCAATTGTTATTTTTCCACAAAAATGACTTGCTTATTTCTTCTACAGGGAAAAAACAGAAGAATTATGAGAATTAATAAGGGAATAGAATAAAATCAAAATTCGAGGCAAATCGGTCAAGGGGTTCATGAGTTCTGATCGGACAAGCAAACAAACAAACAAAACACCCAAACAGACAAATGGAGATTATGGAGGATATATTTAGGATAACATGTACCTTGAACTCCTTGAATAAAAGCATGGTTGAAGGAGGACGGGGGGATGCGGAGAGAATGATGAGCTATCAACGACCACTGATTGATACGCCGGCCAGCTTGTTTCTCTGTGAATATCAGGGATGCAAACATTTTTTTTTTTTTTTTCAAAGCATAGTTTTTACAAATAAATTTCAGACTTTCTCGCTCATGATGTCTTTACAAACCTAGATTTGAGATCAACCCCAATTCATTTGAAATTATGTTTTAAAACTTTTTTAAACATTTACAAAAATCTGACAAAAAAATTATTGTATTTGAAGGCCCACTGTTTTCCCCTCTGTCTTTGCTGTGATTTCTTTGCCTGTGACTGTCGAATGCAGTGCCCAGATGGTTTGTATTTAAATTATGCTCTCTAATCATGGTTTCAACTGTAGTAGTGTCTGATCCAATCAGGGTTTACTGACAGAACCAATAAAGATTGCAAATGCAGTAGTAGTATCTAACTATCTTTCTACATTATAAATTTTGGAATTAAAAAAATAGCTTACCCAACTTTTACCCAATTTTCTTTACATGCACTGAAACAAGGATGAACAGGGTTGTGGGGTGTTTTGAATATTATCAGTTATTTCTCTTTTATACAATTTAAGTCTTGTCCTTTGTCTTAAGTTTAAGGTCTTTACTTTGATCATTTTTAAGTTTACAGCATATACCAAAACAGTAAAGATCTTTGGACCAGATTTTATGGATGAAAAAATATGTAGTTGAACTGTGTAGACATAGTTGAACCATTTCTCTTCAACTTTACCCGGCGCACAAGAGAAGTGGTTCAAGAAAATCTACACTATGCAGTTCAGCTACTTCTCGCAGGGACAATATTCCACCATTTGCATTTTCTTCAAGGGGCTGTAAGCTTAATTTCAAGCAAAGTTGGCGATGTCCGACTTGCAACCGTACCTTAAAAGCGTTGTCTGATCAAGTATGAACTATTGATATCATGTTTTTGTTTCTTTAAACTGTTTTTCATTTGTGGTTTTTTTGTGAATGTGACGCGTATAAGAAGCGATGGAGAAATTAATATTAACACTTGTCAGAAAAACAACAATATCTTCCACATATTTTTTATCAGATTCAGGTTTCAAGAGTACCGTTGTAAAACGGGCATTGCCATCTTTGCATGCAGGTCACTTGAAATTACAGCTATAACAGCACTTCATGGGGTTAATAATTTTTACATTTCAAGGTTTGGCGTGCTCGAATCTCAGGCGTTTATCGGCCGAAAGCGGGTTCGAACCATCTACCTGAACGCTAGCGAGATCACAGAGCTGGGTCCTCGGACTTTAAATGGTCTGGTGGAGCTTGAGATATTGCATCTGGAGAACAATCTTCTGCATAGTATTGGAACCAGTCAGTTCTCCAATCTAACTAATCTCAGGTTCAACATTTCAACAAATATTTTTTTTAATAAATCATCTATGTTAAAAAACAACAAAAGTTGTGTATTTTAGATAAAAAATGTGCATCTATATTGCTATATGTATAAAGTAGTCATCTCTTGTTTTTTGATTGAATGTCATAGCTCGAATTTCGATTCTGAACCACGTGAATGTTATCATGGCTAAGTTTAACAACTTTACATTGAGTGGTTTATATCGTCAGGGAACGGTGGGTACAAAAGCTAGTATTTTATATATATACCAGGCTTTTAGGGCGCTTCGCGCCGTATCTTCTAATTCAATTGTGAACATTTTTTCTTTGTATACATTGTAAAACAAAAACAAACACAAAAATTTCGCGGATTTAATAAAAAATTTTCAAAAATCGAATTTTGTTAGAGGCAAATTATGAAAATTCGATCATCCATAAACCTTCCCTGGGGTCACGTGAGGTCCCACAAAAAATATGGGCCTGATTAGTTCAGTCGTTTTGACGTTTATTGGAGTCAAACAAACAGACAGACAGACAGGTTAATAGCGCAGAAACATGGAGATGATAAATTATTTATTAAATAGTTAAATTCAATTTATGGAAATTTAATCAAAATACAAATAAAATAAAATAATTCGAGAGATTTATTTATTTATTTCAAATATCCTGAAAATGAAATTGATTGATTGATTGTCAATGAATGAAGCGTGGATGGATGAATGTGCTGCCAGATTACAATCCCTGGTAGATCAATATAAACTAAGACAACACCAAACGTTCGCAATAGAAAAATTCCAAGATTTGATCGTAACAACACCATCTTGTCCTGGAGACAAAAAATCCCTTTTTTTGATTGCTTTGTCTCCTAGAGAGATGTATCTCCAGTTTAACAAGTTGACCTTCATCAGCTCTGAAGCCTTTATTAACCTAAACTCATTACAGGTAACAATTCCTAAGGGAGTGTTCGCGAAAAACGAAAGGGAGTATAGTCTAACGTTGAATCTAATTCGATGGTGATCGCTACTAATCTAACTTTATAGCTATTGCGTCTGTAAGCTAGGAACAAATGGTTGAACACGGATTATATCGAAGAGCATAGCGTCCATACAAATTCACGGAGTTGAAACATTTCACTCAGATTGTACTAATCATGTTTAACCATTTTCTCCTTAAAGAAATAATATCAGTAGCGATCAAACCCGAATTTAATTCGACTTTCATTTTTGCGAACACTCCCTTTAATGGTTTTCCCGTTTCTCTCATCTTTGAACATCTAGATTTTACGGGTAACGTTTGTTGTGCTCACCATCATCCTCATCCTAACCGCCAGCAGCTTATATGTTTTTAGGAACAGGCTCCCAGGTAGATAAATCAATCAATCAACTAATTATCAAATCAAATCATATAAAGATAAAGATAAAGATAAAAATAAAAATATAATTAAAATTACTGCAGCAGGGGGGCTCAGATAGCTTAAACCTGTTTTCAAAAATCATCAATCAACCAATCAATCAACTAATCAATCATTCAATCAATCAATCATTTGCAAGATTCAGATAATATTTAAATGTTAGTTGACTGACCCCCCACATGCCAAGTCTGATCCCACATAAAATTCAGGCCCTTTGAATCATTCTTCTCAATGGTTATTGGTGCAAATAAATATAAAAATGTCTTTTTGAAGGTTGGGTATCCGGCCATTGTTCCACAAAGTTCCATCGTGAAGTTTGCATCAGCTGTTCATCAGCTGATCAGCTGTTCCTTCAGCAAGCTTTCCTTCCAAATCTTAAGGTAAACAATGAATAAATTTGTTATTAAAAACTGAATCGCGTAGAGTTTCCAATTGGAATTCCGTTGCGAGGAGTTATGCAGAATTGTGTGCAATTGTGCGCAACTGTTCTTGTATTGCGTGAAAAATTGCGGAATTGCAAGAAAATTACAGGGCCAGCCATTGGACGCAAGTAAATCCATTTGCGTTGGAAACCTAAGAATCATGTCAACAATTCATATCCGTAATAACTTTATAATGAGCAACAGGTTAAATATTGTTTTTTAAAAGATGTCTAAGAAGACCAGACTAAGGCTGAGATTTTAAGATATAAAAATTCTTTTTTGTAGAAATGTGATATAAAGTTTCGGGTTGGAGTTTCACCCCCATCGTATTCTTCCGCTAGCAAGCTAGTTCTTCTAGTTTCCCAGGTAAACATTTGTAATTTATAAATCAGTCTTATATTGTAATAAAAGTTCAGAAAATCAGGTGTGTAGATTTGAGAGAACACTAAAGGGCCAATTGTCAGAAAATTGTCAAAACTAGCTCTGTAAGAGTGAAAATGTTGGTTTTTCTTAAATGAAATTTGAGGCTTTTTCATCCAATCGAATTGAGTCTTTATCACAAACGCTAATTTTCTAATCCCTATATCTTTGCAATCCAATGTGGAAGACCATAGATATTTCAGACTATGAATTCTGTTAGATCAAATATTAAAGTGTTGCACCATTAGGTTGCAAAGATATAGCTATTAGAAAATTTGAATTTAAGGCAAATATACTCAATTCCTATAATAAAACTATGTAAATTTGGCAATTTGAATGCTTGTACATTTTAATACATACATAGTATCAATTTGTAGTCCCATCTTTATTATTTTTTTGGCTCGGGGAGGGGGTATTCTTTAAAATGCATACCCCGTAGATTCACATACAATACATTTCATTACTTGAGCATTATAGGCCATACATTTTCTTCTCTGAAGTGGGAACTGTTTTGTTGAACAATAAACAGGACTTTATAGAGCTTACATAGTCTGAATATAGTATTCTTTGCTTTAAGTATATTATCTCATGAATTTAAAGTTTTCACATATCAAAGAACTTTTTCCCAAATTAATAAAAAAATTTGTAATGCAGACTTACATTTAGGGTTTCCAATGGGAAATTAGTTGCGCTTAATTGCATGGAATTGTTCGGAATTGAGCAGAATTGCTTGGAACTTTTTTGCCTAATAAAAAAAAATTATCTGATGGAAACAGATTTTACTTCTAAACTATATAGTTTGTCAAGTTCCAGTCACATCAAAAGATTTCAAATTGTTAATTTTTGTTAAAAATTAATCTTTTAATTTTCTAGGTATACTTGGAGACTGAGTGGAGTAAGGTTAGATCTGTACATCTATCTAGTTCTCCTATCATAGTCCTGCTAGAGGAGATCACATCTCTTCAACTAGCCCAGGTTAGAACTCTAATTATTAATCATTTTTCTTAAGCACTTTGCCTTTTGTTAAGAATTCATAATAGAGAATGCTAGCACTACAATTTATGACTTTATCTAAAAAAAGAATAAGAGTTACTTGCTGAGTTGAATTCTTTACTAAAATAATCAAGGTGATGGAAAACATTTAAAGCCTTTTTGAAAAACACTAAAGGGGATGAAACACATCTATATAATGAAACAAGCCATTCATATTTATATGTGTGGCGTAGAGCTGGCCAAATGGCTGGACCTATTGGGCTGAAATTTTTTGTGGACACTCAGGAGTGGCGGGGGGGGTTGTTAAAGGCTAAAAAATTTCAATTTTTTTTCCCACGGGCAATGCCGGGTCCTTCAGCTATTATATTTTGGAAAATTGGAGAATAAAAATTGGTAGCACCACTCAGATAATATTTAATATTGTTTAAATAGTAAAGTAACCATTGTAATGTCTATATTTGTCAAGGTGCCTGAGTTTAATATATTGCTGGGAACCAGTCTAGTTCTCCGTTGGGCAGAGTCAGGATTCTGGCCAAAATTTCTCTTCTACCTAACTGATCAGGAACAGGTAAATAAATAAATAAATAAATACCCTTGGATGAAATGCTGGGTTTTGCCAATTGGTATTTTATAAATTGTCTAATGCTTGGCAGAAGATGTTAAAATCTTGATCTTATAGAGTGAAAAAGTTCTTTTAAGGCCTAGTTTAAATGCACCAGCTCTCATTGGGCTTGATTCACGCCTGCTACTTTATCATTTTCAAGTGCTCCGTCCTGAATTGTCATGTTATCTACATATCCAAAGAAATAATTTCCAGCTCTGTAAATCTTGCGTTTTTATTGGCGTAAAATTAAAACCTTACTTTTTCTCTTGGATTCCCTGTAAGGAAGGTCAAGATTTTTAGTTTAAGAAATTTAGGGTAAAATAAAATTCCTCTAACTTACCATAGGCGTAAAGTAGTCATGAATAATTAATTCTTGATACACTCAATACAATTGAAAATTCAATGATAATGTCTATTTTTCACTTAAAATATAATGAAAGATAAAATATGAAGAGAACCCACACTTATAATTTTCAATAATTCCGTCGGAGTAAATCTTCACTTTTGACATTTAGTATTTTTGAAATCCCAAATTGTAACTAAGGAAGAATTCTCCTCCATTTAAGCTTTTTATTTTGGTCAGTTTCAGTGCTTTATAAACTGCCTTTATTCTCAATAGACATTTTAGTTAAATTTTTTACTCACATTTATTCATCCTTGAAAGTCAGAATACAAATGTGGCCATTTTTCTGAATACATTATAAAAACATAAGAATGTCTGGTTTTGCAGAAAATTTGTTCTAATAGCAGATTTTTCAAAAGAATTATACTGAAATTATTTTAGCCCAAAATTTGTTGTTCTGAGGTGCTATAAATTACCATAAAAAAACTTGTCAGAATGATTAAATGGCTATGATTAATAGATTGAGGGTATACTGGGAAAGGAGACTGGGTATGACTGTGTTGGGCAGACCTCAGATGGGTCAACCTCCACACGCTCTACAGCAGAGGGGTCAGGTTAGTGCAAAAAGGTGTCTTGACTTGGGACAATAGAATGTAAAAACGGACGATTAGGTGACTTTTCAATTTAAATGTCAGTCAAGATCAAAAGTTATTTCCTCAAATTGATAGTTTGAGACTTACTCAAACTATCAATTTTTTATTCCTAAAATGCTTTAGACTAAAATTGCAAACTTTAAGTTTGAAAATGTTAGAGTTACAATTTAAAGTTTAAAACAGACATGTATATTTAAGTTTTTGAGAACATATATGTTTTCCAGGAAGTCCTAGATTTATGGAGAATTTTAGCCCCAGAAGTGATAAATTAATCCAAAGAGGAACCAAAGAGGGGATGACAGGAAGGCGGAGGGAGGGGAGGAAGGATGAAGATTGGAGAAGGAAGGAGGGAGGGCAGGAAGAGGAAGGTGTAATGTTGAGAAATGTGTTTTAAAGGTTTTTAATTTTGTAAAAAAATTAAATTATTGAAAATCCGCAAATTTTTTTTTAAATCCACAAAAAAAATTTTCTTCTTTGTTTTAAAATCTAAACAAAAAGAACATGTTCACAATTTAAATAGAAGATGGGCGTGAAGCGCCCTAAAAGCCTAGAAAGAAGGGAGCGAAGCCCCTTGAATTTCTAGTATTATAAATTTTGGGAAAATATTCACCCCTATCCGTTAAATATTATAAATTTTGGGAAAATATACACCCCTTAAATACTGAGCCGGTTTATACTTAAAGGGATTATTGTTGAACTTTATAATGACCCTCCATTTAAAGAGGGACATCCTGATTATTAATTTCTCCATCATTTTTGGAGCAATAAACCACAATTAAAAATTACAATTTTTCTAAAGATTAATTGTTTATATCTCATACATATTTGATCAAACAAAGCTGAATCAGATAGGTCATTTGAAATAAAACTTTAATCCCTTTAATTAAAATACTTTCTTTAATTTTGCTGACTTATTCCTAATTTATGAAGATTTAGCTGGGACTAGTGATGGGCACGTTTGACTTTTTTGCTTTGACAATTGTTCAAAAAAGAATTGCTTTCGTTTTTTCTCAAAATTATCATTCATATTCCATCTTTTTCTTTCATTTTCTCACATGTCCTTTCATTCGTTCTTAAAAACGACATAGTTTTTGTTTTTTAGAGTGATTCATTTTGTTTGGACAAGTTCGTTTTCTATCTGAAAGACACCCTTTTCCAAGAAAAATTTTGTTCTCTCTTCAAAATTGTGTTAGTTTAAAAAATGATGTCCATCTCTAGCTGGAACCTAACCATGCTCTTAGAATGTAACACTATGCCGGAATTGTGTTTCACATAATCCAAAATTATTAGAATCTGACACAGCTTCCCATTTTCTTTTCCAGGCTCTCCAGAGACTAGAACTTTCCCAGCAAATCCTTTTCTTCTCTAATAACTTCCAACTTTTGCTTCTTTTTTATATTTTGAGTTCAACTTTTTTTTGGGGGGGGGAAGGAGGGGGCGTTTATTGCAATACCAACGCCATCGCCAGACTTCTATCCACTTTTAAACCAAAAATAGTTTTCTTAGTTTTCTTCTTAGAGAAAGAACAAAATTATATTTTTAGGAAACAAACCAATATACACTTCTCTTGCTGTGAAGTGTGAAGTGAGGGACTATAAGCATAATTTCAAGTGACCCTCTATGCAAAGATGGCAATGCCAAATTTACAATGGTACCCTTGAAACCTGAATCTGATCAAAAATGTGGAAGCTACCTCATTTTTCTGACTCAAAAAGTGTTTATTTCTGTGAGTTTTTCCATTGCTTCAAAATAATCAAAAAAACCGCATATGAAAAAAAAATCACACATTGATATCTGATTCATACTTGAACAGACAAAGCTTTCAAGAGTACCGTTTTAAATCGTGCTTTGCCATCTTTGCATGGAGGGTCAATTTAAATTACACTTACAGTACCTTTAAATGAATTTTAATTCTATGATTTTGATGTCAAAGAAATTGAGTCTTTGTCACAAACTCAAATTTTCTAATCACTATCTTTGTATGAATTAGATTTCTATGTTTTTGTTTCTTTAATTTGTTTATTTTCATTTGCGGTTTCTCTGTGAAAGTGACTTGCGCATTTCTTGTTTATGACAAGTGATTTCGAGAAACTCACAGAAAAAAAAACACTTTTCGAGTCAGAAAAACAACAGTATATCTTTACATTTTTTATCAGATAAAGGTTTCAAGGGTACCGTTGTAAATAGGACATTGCCATCTTTGCATGGAGGGTCACTTCAAATTTTACGCCTACACTGCACGTGGATTTAATTCGGTTCTGTCAATATATCAGAAAGCTTTGACTTTCGATCACAATTTGAACCATTATACATAATATTTCAGCCTTTTTTCTAAAATAATTTGTTGTCGACATATACATTTTGAATGAATAAGTATAAAATAAACAAATTCGTAAGTTTAAAGATTGTTGAATTATAGACCAAAACACGTGTGACTTCAAATAAATCATACCGAATGCTTCTCGCTCTGGTTTATAGTCCGGGGTGACTGATAGAAATCCATTTTAAATGAATTTCACCAGAAAGAAATAGACTAGAGGAGCAACCCAACATGTAATGCAATATTGTATAGCAGTATTATTACGGAAAAGTTTGACTAATTCCACCCAGCTGTCATTTGGTATCAGTTCCGTTTTTCACCGCAAGAGGTCTCTTCTTGTCGAATTATTTTAATGTTCACAAATATAAAAACTTAATTCTTTACAATCATATAATTTAATATCAATTCTCCAATAAGAATTTGTTAGGGTGAAAAAATAAATTTAAAAAAAAAGATTCACTAATTCAAAAGCTGATTCCAAAAATTGCTACGTAGATGGAAAATTAAGTTGTATTCCTAATTAAATATATAATAGTCTTTGTAAGAAACTCACGTATATTTCCTTTCCCCGTTAGTGCAGATGCCAAGTAACGGATTAAAATATTGATATTCATTTACCCAGTTTCCAACTGATGATAAGGCTTGGGTTGAGTGAACTAGGATACATTATGTACAAACTTTGGTGGGGTTTACAATATTACAACAATTTGACCATTTGCATTCACTGAATACTCACTCTCACATTTAAAATTAATAGTTTGCTTTTGTAACTCATTCTTTTACATTATAAGGTCTTCATAAGACGACATTTAATGTAAATAGATTCTCTGACACTGGTTCAGTATTGAAAGCGGTGCTGAATTGATGCCAACTTGATATTGATGAAAATGATATAACTGTAAAATAAATGAATTGTCCATTGCGACATAGGAAATGTTGAACGGAGTATAGTTCTGATGAGATGGTACATCGCAATATTCCCATGCATCCCCGCTTTATCCCATTATCTTTCCCCACTCTCTACTTATTATGATTGTCCATGGCCGGTGCGAGGTGTCTGATTATACCTAAAGCTGGCAATAGTATCCCAACTTGTTTTCATTTAATTAAGCCTGCTCGGTGCTTTTATGTTATTATTTATATTCATGAAATATTTGCAGATTTTGGATTTTCAGAAAGCTATCAGAGATATCTTTCTATCTAGCAACTTTTTTATTTTAAGCAAGATATCTGAAATCTCAAAAATTTGTTAAAATGGTGTAGTTATGATTGATAGTTTTTGGATCGTTTTTGGGTCGTTTTTGGATCGTTTCGGATCGTTTCGGATCGTTTTTGCATCTTTTTTTGCATCATTTTTTTGGATCGTTTTGAATTGTTTTTGGATCGTTTTTGGTTCGTTTTGGATAGTTTTTGGATCGTTTTTGGGTCCTTTTCGGATCTTTTTGGATCCTTAAGGATTGTTTTGGATCGTTTTAGATCGTTTTTGCATCGTTTTCGGATTGTTTAAGAATTTTATATATTTAGAAAAAACTATTTAGATTTACTATAAACACTATACGAATGTCTTGTTTTATTAAATAGTTAAACACTATTCCAAATTTTGCCCCTGAAAGAAAATAAAAACAAAAAACGAATAAGCTGAAGCCACATCACTAGTCACATTACAGATATAGATCTAATAACACTATAGACCTAACTACAATAGAATGGAAGACACATAGATCTGATATGAGTAGGTTTGAGATATTGTTTGCTGTTGTTTATTTTCTCATAGTATTCTTTGTTTTGTTTTGATCCTTATATTTATCCAGGAGCATATTTACCACACATTGGAGCCTGGGAACCCAGAGTCAGAAGAGAGGGGGTTCAGGGCCCAGGAGGAGAGGATTTCTAGAGCCCAAGTTCTGATGCCCGGATCCCAGGGCCTTGAAGTCATGTTGCCAAACGGTCATCTTGTTCCTGCCACACTTGTTAGGTATAGATTATATAGATAGGACATCTTGGTAGGAGGAGAGATTATATAGATAGGACATTTTGGTAGGAGTAGAGATTATATAGATAGGACATTTTGGTAGGAGTAGAGATTATATAGATAGGACATTTTGGTAGGGTAGAGATTATATAGATAGGACATTTTGGTAGAGTAGAGATTATATAGATAGGACATTTTTGTAAGAGTAGAGATTATATAGATAGGACATTTTGGTAGGGTAGAGATTATATAGATAGGACATTTTGGTAGGGTAGAGATTATATAGATAGGACATTTTGGTAGGGTAGAGATTATATAGATAGGACATTTTGGTAGAGTAGAGATTATATAGATAGGACATTTTGGTAGGGTAGAGATTATATAGATAGGACATTTTGGTAGGAGTAGAGATTATATAGATATGACATTTTGGTAGGGTAGAGATTATGTAGATAGGACATTTTGGTAGGAGGAGAGATTATATAGATAGGACATCTTAGCAGGTGGAGAGATTATATAGAAAGGACATTTTGGTAGGAGTAGAGATTATATAGATAGGACATCTTGGTAGGAATAGAGATTATATAGATAGGACATTTTGGTAGGAGTAGAGATTAATAGGACATCTTGGTAGGAGGAGAGATTATATAGAAAGGACATTTTGGTAGGAGTAGAGATTATATAGATAGAACATTTTGGTAGGAGGAGAGATGATATAGATAGAACATTTTGGTAGGAGGAGAGATTATATAGATAGAACATTTTGGTAGGGTAGAGATTATGTAGATAGGACATCTTGGTAGGAGTAGAGATTATATAGATAGGACATTTTGGTAGGAGGAGAGATTATATAGATAGGACATCTTGGTAGGAGGAGAGATTATATAGATAGGACATCTTGGTAGGAGGAGAGATTATATAGATAGGACATTTTGGTAGGAGGAGAGATTATATAGATAGGACATCTTGGTAGGAGGAGAGATTATATAGAAAGGACATTTTGGTAGGAGTAGAGATTATATAGATAGGAAATTTTGGTGAGAAGAGAGATTATATAGATAGGACATTTTGGTAGGAGTAGAGATTATATAGATAGAACATTTTGGTAGGAGGAGAGATTATATAGATAGGAAGTTTTGGTAGGTGGGGAGATTATAAAGATAGGACATTTTGGTAGAAGGAGAGATTATATAGATAGGACATTTTGGTAGGAGAGATTATATAGATAGGACATCTTGGTTGGTGGGAGATTTTATAGATAGGACATCTTTAATGCTTTTAATCGTCTATTAGTTTTCTTGCCTTTCTTCCTAAATTCTGTATATTTATATTTAGTATTAATAGTCGGGTTCGATCCCCAACATGAATGCTAAAACATCATGAAAAAAAATTATAAACCCCTCAAAACCATCTGTATGTATGCTATCTAATTACTCATAATTGTATATTGAGCAATAGGCATTAAATGGGATTAGAGATATGAACTTTTAGATAGAGGTTTTAGATAGAGGTAAACCGAATAAACCGATTTAAAATAGCTTATCTCCCATAGAATGAGTTTAAATTATTTAATTGAAATTTTAGTTCTTTTAGCATTTTCTCTTTGTAATGTTTTTGTAAATTTTTTGTAATTCTGAGCATACATAAATAAACCTACCTTGGGATTTAGATTTCCATCGGCTTAAAAGTTTCCCACTGCTTTTTTTCATTCAAATTTTTTAGGAACGCCAATGGAAGAATAGTTCCCTTGGTCCATGTTCCAACGGAATCCGGCCAGGAAATAGGATCTCCAAGGAACAGAACATTTGGAACGCTTGGCACATCAGGGTTCCAATACAGAGTGTAGAAAGACAACTTAGTTCCATAAATTTGTTGTGTTGTTTTCTCAGTGATATAACGTTCCAAACATTCAAACTTGTGAAACACATTTCCAGGATCTATTGATGAGTTCCAGATTTATTGTTCCATAATGTAGTTAATCGTTCCAATCCAGTGTTCCACAATATCGTAACTTGTTCTAAAACCAGTGTTCCAAGATCTAGTAATTCGTTCCAAAATCATGGGGGGGGGGTTGTCAAATCGACCCCCCTGTGTGTCCTGGTTTTCGAGTACTCCAGTAGGGATAGGGTTAAGACGGATTAGGAAAACTAAAAATATTCGTAAAATTTGTCGGATAAAGATCAAAATTATTTAAGTTCAATCATAAGTTTCTAGCTCTATCTTAATCCTTATCTTAAAATGTGTAACCCTATAATCACACAAAACACACTTGCTGACACCAAAACTGCAATATAAAACTAGTCTTATAGAAACATGCTTTTATTTGAAATAAATCAAGTTTGTATAATTTTATTTTATTTTATCTAATATTAACAATTGAAGAGAAAGTTTTCAGATAATGTATTATTCACCCATAAATTAAACAAATTTCGTTTTTTTAAATTTAAATAAAAAAGGACATTTTTTTTGGGGGGGGGGGAGTGGGGAGTAATTGTTGGTTATATCTCACTTTTCTTTTTTCTTTCAGTCAATAGTCTGTCTGTTTATCTATCAATCTATCTTTCTATCCATCTTAAGATAAAAATATATCAATCTACATATCTACATATCTATCTATCATATCTATTTATTTATCTATCTATCTATCTATCTTTATATCTCTCTATCTATCTTTCTAATTCTATCTATAATTTTTATAATTTTATCTAAAGATAAAAATAATCTATCTATCTAACTATTTTATAAATATCTATCTTTCTATCTATCTTTATCTTTATCTATCTATCTAATTCCATATATTCATCTAAAGATAAAAATATATCGATCTACATAACTACATATCTATATCAGTTAAAACGCAACAATCTTCTTATAACATTTTATTCATAAACATATCTATATATATCTATATATCTATCCAACTATCTATATATATATATATAATATCTATCTAACCTTCCTTTTATATAATTACTAATTTATCTATCTTTCTGTATATTTATTTATCTACATATCTATCTTTCTATCTATATATTTATGCACAGATCTATCTACCCTTTCTTCTATATATTTATCTATCTATCTATCTATATAGTTAAACTCCTCCTGTTTGGGTAGTCACTATTATACATCTAATCACTGGTAATGATTCTAGCATTTAGTCCTCCATTATCATATCCATACTCAGTTATCTATCTATCTATCTATGTAATCAACAATAGATCTATCTATCTATCTATCTATCAATATACATCATTACAAAAGTCATCTTTTGTACACTGTAACCATTATCTAGTATACTATACAACAATTAATGATTTATCTATCTATTCTATCTATGTATCTATCTTTCAATCCTAAATATATTTATCTATCTATCTGTCTCTATCTTTCTATCTATCTATCTATCAATCAAAGCTGAACTTTTAAATGTTTGACATAAATGCCATACATTTATTAGCTCCAGTTGGGGCGGTGCAATTGAGAGGCAAAAAAACTTCATTGTTTTAATATTGTCCCATAAAAAAAATAAGTTAGAGTTAAAATATGTTTTTTCTAATATTAAGTTTGTACTAATTTGATAATTAATTATTTTTGCTTTAATATAAATTCTGTCATTCTGTTCAATTGTGTCCTGTTCTGATTGTCCTGTCCATATTCTGTCCTAACATATTTTCTTATCCTGATCCTACTCTCTTATATTTGATTTGCTCGTCTGTCCTAATTCTGTCCTATCCTTTCTTCTTGTCATGACATAATTCTGTCCTATCCTTTCTTCTTGTCATGACATAATTCTGTCCTATCCTTTCTTCTTGTTCTGTCATAATTCTGTCCTATCCTTTCTTCTTGTCATGACATAATTCTGTCCTATCCTTTCTTCTTGTCATGACATATTTCTGTCATATCCTTTCTTTTGTCCTGGTACAATATTTCGTCCTACCTTTGTTCCTTGATCTCTCAAATCTCTGTCCTATCCTTTCTGCTTTGTCCTCTTTGGAGATATGGAAAATATCCCTAGCACCAAAGACCCTTTTCTGAATCTCCTGTTTATCTTCTTTTCTTTTATTATTTTTTGCCTTGTTAATGTATTCTTATCCTTTATTTATTTTACTGTAGATCTTTCATCATAAATTCTTTATCTTTCTGTCTTTCTATCTATTTATAGATCTATAAATATAATATATCTGTCTGTCTATCTATCTATTTATCTATCTATCTATCTATCTATCTATCTATCTATATATATATATATCTATGTATCTATCTATCTATCTGTCCCTTTGTCAATCTATCTATCTATCGATCTATCTATCTTTCTATCTATCTCTCTAACTATTTACCTATCTATCTATCTATATATCTATCAATCTATCTATTTTGACTACTGAGGATCGTCATGAGGCGTGAAACATTATGTTTAGTGTAATTCTTTTTTTATAAGATGTGAAGTTTAAAAATTGAAATATATATATTTCTAAATATCTATCTATTTATCTATCTATCTCTTCCTTGTTTTTGTTAAAACAAACAAAACAAAGCTGGAACTAGTTTAATTTAATTATAAATCCTTTACTAACCTAATTCTCTCTACCTTAGGAAGTCCTAGATTTATGGAGAATTTTAGCCCCAGAAGTGATAAATTAATCCAAAGAGGAACCAAAGAGGGAATGACAGGAAGGCGGAGGGAGGGGAGGAAGGATGAAGAGTGGAGAAGGAAGGAGGAAGGACAGGAAGAGGAAGGAAGGAAAGGGAATGGAGTCATGAACCCATTGGAACAATGGTCAGATCTGTCAGGTGAAATTTTTAAATATTTATAAAAACAGGAAACTGTTATTAAACAGTTTTTAGAAATATTAACTCCACAAAGACAAATCATGGAAAAGAGAAATTCAAAAATATTTTTAAAAAGGATTGTGATCATGTTTTGCAACTATAGAACTGATAAAGTGTTCAAAATTCAATGAATTTGAGCTGTGTCTCAAATCCCCCAAAAACCAGTTTGAATTAAGCCCTGGCTTAAATCTTGAAACATTGAATACTATTTTAAGTAAAACAACCCATATTTGAGCTGCGGCTTAAATTTAAGCCGCAGCTCAAATTCTTTAAATTCTGCCTCTGATTATAATTTTTACAAAATAAGTCTTTTTTCAAGATTGACTCTCTGAGTCTTATTTCATGAATTTGTCAAATCATTTTTCAAACAAATTTATTTGTTCTAGATAGTGGATACGGTATCACAAGGGACCATCTTTACCAGACCATCCATCCGGTAAATATTATAAATGTTGGGAAAATATACACCCCATCCATTGTATATTATAAATTTTGGGAAAATATACACCCCTATATAGTAAATATTATAATTTTTGGGAAATTATACACCCCATCCAGAATATATTAGAAATTTTGGGAAATTATACACACCTATTCAGTAAATATAAGAAATGCTGGGAAAATATACAGTCCTATATATATAGAATATACAATAAATGTTGTGAAAATATACACCCCTATATATTAAATACAATAAATGTTGTAAAATTATACACCCCTATTCGAAAATATTAGAAATGTCGGGAAAATATACACCACTATTCAATAAATATTAGAAATGTTGGGAAAATAGACACCCCCATCTATTTAATATTATGAATTTTGGGAAAATATACACCCCTATCCATTAAATATTATAAATTTTGGGAAAATATACATCCCTATCCATTAAATATTATAAATTTTGGGAAAATATACACCCCTATCCATTAAATATTTTAAATTTTTGGAAAATATACACCCCTATCCATTGAATATTATAAATTTTGGGAAAATATACACCCCTATCCATTAAATATTTTAAATTTTTGGAAAATATACAACCCCTAAATACTGAGCCGGTTTATACTTAAAGGGAGTGTTGTTGTAACTTTAAATGACCCTCAATTTAAAGAGGGGCATCCTGATTAACAATTTCTCTATCATTTTTTTTGAGCAAGAAACCACAATTAAAAATAACAATTTTTCTAAAGATTAATCATTTATATCTCATACATACTTGATCATGCAGACAAAACTTTAAAAAGGGACCATTTTGAATCAGACGGGTCATTTGAAATTAAACTTTAGCCCCTTTAATTAAAATACTTTCTATAATTTTGCTGACTTATTCCTATTATATGATGTTCTTGCTGGGACTAGAGATGGTCACATTCAACTTTTTTTGTTCGGTTTTTTATCAATTGTTCAAAAAAGAATTGCTTTCGTTTGTTCTCAAAATTATCATTCATATTCCATCTATATCTTTCATTTTCTCACATGTTCTTTCATTCGTTCTTAAAAAGACATAGTTTTTGTTTTTTTGAATGATCCATTTTGTTCGGACAATGTTCGTTTTTTTCTGAAAGACACCCTTTTCCAAGAAAAATTTTGTTCGCTCTTCAAAATTGTGTTCGTTTGAAAAATGATGTCCATCTCTAGTTGGGACCTAACCATGCTCTTAGAATGTAACACTATGCCGGAATTGTGTTTCACATAATCCAAAATTATTAGAATCTGACACAGCTTCCCATTTTCTTTTCCAGGCTCTCCAGAGACTAGAACTTTCCCAGCAAATCCTTTTCTTTTCTAATAACTTCCAACTTTTGCTTCTTTTTTATATTTTGAGTTCAACTAGGGGGGAGGGGGGGGGGGGGCGTTTATTGCAATACAATCGCCATCGCCATATTTCTTTCCACTTTTACCTAAAACAGTTTTCTTCTTAGAGAAAACAAACCAATTTACACTTCTCTTGCTGTGAAGTGTAAAGTGTGTATGTTAAAGGAACTTATTCGTTATTTCAAGTGACCCTCCATGCAAATTGATGGCAATGCCAGATTTTAAACGGAACCCTTGAAACCTTTTGCATGACACCATGCGGATTTAACAGTTCAGTCCTTATCCCAGAAATCTTTGACTTTCGATCACATTAAGACCTATGACATACATTCTTTGCCTTTTCTTTTACACTTCTTTAGCCTTGAAGTGTGAAGTGTGTATGTTAAAGGGACTGTAAGCATAATTTAAAGTGACCCTCCATGCAAAGATGGCAATGTCCGCATTTACAACGGTACCCTTGAAACCTGAATGTGATCAAAAATGTGGAAGCTACTGTCGTTTTTCTGACTTAAAAAGTGTTTATTTCTGTGAGTTTTTCCATTGCTTCAAAATAATCAAAAAAACCGCATATGAAAAAAAAATCACACATNGATTCATTCTAATGAAATTTTCTAATTAGTTCCGAAAATCGTAATTTAGACCCGTTCTCGGTCTAATATGATGTGGGACACCCTGTAGAACCATTAATTCGTCAACATCAAGCTTTTTATACAGTTTATATAAAGTTCAAGATTCAGAACGGTTTATTATCTAGTTTAATGATGATCTTATTTCAGAAGTATAATTTTATGAATGTGTGAAAATAAAGATTAAAACGATACCCTTGAAAGCGTTGTCTGATCAAGTATGAATTAGATTTCTATGTTTTTGTTTCTTTAATTTGTTTATTTTCATTTGCGGTTTCTCTGTGAAAGTGACTTGCGCATTTCTTGTTTATGAGAAGTGATTTTGAGAAACTCACAAAAAAAAGAACACTTTTCGAGTCAGAAAAACGACAGTATATCTTTACATTTTTTATCAGATAAAGGTTTCAAGGGTACCGTTTTAAATAGGACATTGCCATCTTTAAAATTTTACGCCTACACTGCACGTGGATTTAACGGTTTTGTCAATATATCAGAAAGCTTTGACTTTCGATCACAATTTGAACCATTATACATAATATTTCAGCCTTTTTTCTTAAATACTTTGTTGTCGGCATTTAGATTTTGAATGAATAAGTATAAAATAAACAAATTCGTAAGTTTAAAGATTGTTGAATTATAGACCAAAACACGTGTGACTTCAAATAAATCATACCGAATGCTTCTCACTCTGGTTTATAGTCCGGGGTGACTGATAGAAATCCATTTTAAATGAATTTCACCAGAAAGAAATAGACTAGAGGAGCAACCCAACATGTAATGCAATATTGTATAGCAGTATTAGCACGGAAAAGTTTGACTAATTCCACGCAGCTGTCATTTGGTATCAGTTCTGTTTTTCACTGCAAGAGGTCTCTTCTTGTCGAATTATTTTAATGTTTACAAATAAAAAAACTTAATTCTTTACAATCATATAATTTAATATAAATTTCGACAATAAGAATTTGTTAGGGTGAAAAAGAAATTTTAAAAAAGATTCATAAATATAAAAGTTGATTTCAAAATACGTAAATACAAATTCTTTCACAGTAAGGTCTTCTTCAGACGGCACTTTATTTAAATAGATTCTATGACACTGGTTCAGTATTGAAAGCGGTGCTGAATTGATGCCAACTTGATGTTGATGAAAATGATAAAACTGTGAAATAAATGAATTGTCCATTGCGACATAAGAAATGTTGAACGGAGTATAGTTCTGATGAGATGGTACATCGCAATATTCCCATGCTTCCACTCTGTATCCCATTATCTTTCCCCATTCTCTACTTGTTATAATTGTCCACCATGGTTCGAGGTGTCTGATTATACCTAAAGCTGGCAATAGTATCCCAACTTATTTTCATTTAATTAAGCCTGCTTGGTGCTTTTATGTTATTATTTATATTCATTAAATATTTGCAGATTTTGGATTTTCAGAAAGCTATCAGATATATCTTTCTATCTAGCAACTTTTTTTTATTTTAAGGAAGATATCTGAAATCTCAAAAAATTGTTAAAATGGTGTAGTTATGATGTTATACGCCTGTGGTATGCGTCACATTAAATAAAGTTCTACATACCAATCCCCCCTCCCGATCGTATCCTATTGCTTTAATTAAATATTTTTATCATTCGTTTTTGCATCGTTTTTGGATTGTTTTGGATCGTTTT